GACGCTTCTCGGGCCGGAGAGCGTCAGGAGGGTGACTGCGCCTAAACGCGGGGATATCTTTCCTCGACAAATTTCGGCAAAATGTGAAGTGGCACACGCGCGTTCCCACGAGGGCCCTTCTCGCACACTCCGCCTACCCCCCCCCACACACACCAAGGCAGGCACGCACACTCCGAGCCGCACGCAACATTGCCACGCGGTGATGGAAGGCATTCAATACTTTCAGGAATAAAATAACTCCTTCGCAGCCTCCTCAGATAAGCCCGAGCTCGTGTCGTTCTCGCTCAAAATTACCCGGGGGAGTGAAGGCACAGAGAGAAATGTCATTAAGGATGTGAAGCGTTTTCTCTTGCCTCTTTTTTTACCTCCGCAGTGAATACGCGAGTGAAATTTGAATAAATTTTGGTTAGAAGAAAAAAACTGCCCGGTTGCTCAGGGGGTCAGAGATGCTGAGCCGCGCACTGCTGAGGGTCCTAGGTTCGAATCCGGGTGTCACCCGCACAACTCCGAACACACCGGGGCCTCGAGTGCAGCGAGCTGCTGGTCTCGGCCCGGCCAGCGATGACTGAACAATAAACCCATCGCATTACATTTCGCCCTGCAATGAATTTGGCTAAATTCCAGCTTCGAGAATGAAATGTCTACACTATGGGGACCTCATTTGCCAGTAAAAATATGATAATTGGTTCTTTACCCTTCTATCTGGCAACAAAACTGACACCTTTTTGCAAGGAGTCATGTAATGTCTGTTTAACCGTTATGCGACGAACACTAATCTCATATGGCAGCAGCAGGATGGGAGATGTTACGGCCCTCGACTGAGTGGACGTTCCTTGGCTCGTCTCCTTGGGCCGTACTCCAAACGCGCTGGGTCGCAGACCTCGGGGCGAGAGATCCGAACGAGTTCGCCATCTCACCACGAGGCGCCGTGACGAGATGGCGAATTCGCAATCGGGATACGACTTGGGGCAGAAGGAGACCACGTTTAGAACGAGGAGATGTAGCCGGGTGGTCAGGTGGCGAGATTATCGTAAATCTTTGTCGGAGGCTGGCTCAGACTGCCCACTCCCAGGCTGCCCACTCCCAGGCTGCCCACTCTCAGGCTGCCCACTCCCAGGCTGCCCCCTCCCACGCTGCCCACTCCCAGGCTGCCCACTCCCAGGCTGCCCACTCCCAGGCTGCCCACTCCCAGGCTGCCCACTCCCAGGCTGCCCACTCCCAGGCTGCCCCCTCCCACGCTGCCCACTCCCAGGCTGCCCCCACCCACGCTGCCCACTCCCAGGCTGCCCACTCCCAGACTCCCCACTCCCAGGCTGCCCACTCCCAGGCTGCCCACTCCCAGGCTGCCCCCTCCCACGCTGCCCCCTCCCAGGCTGCCCACTCCCAGGCTGCCCACTCCCAGGCTGCCCACTCCCAGGCTGCCCACTCCCAGGCTGCCCCCTCCCACGCTGCCCACTCCCAGGCTGCCCACTCCCAGGCTGCCCACTCCCAGGCTGCCCCCTCCCAGGCTGCCCACTCCCAGGCTGCCCACTCCCAGGCTGCCCACTCCCAGGCTGCCCACTCCCAGGCTGCCCACTCCCAGGCTGCCCCCTCCCACGCTGCCCACTCCCAGGCTGCCCACTCCCAGGCTGCCCACTCCCAGGCTGCCCCCTCCCAGGCTGCCCACTCCCACGCTGCCCACTCCCAGGCTGCCCCCTCCCAGGCTGCCCACTCCCAGGCTGCCCACTCCCAGGCTGCCCACTCCCAGGCTGCCCACTCCCAGGTTGCCCCCTCCCACGCTGCCCACTCCCAGGCTGCCCACTCCCAGGCTGCCCACTCCCAGGCTGCCCCCTCCCAGGCTGCCCACTCCCAGGCTGCCCACTCCCAGGCTGCCCACTCCCAGGCTGCCCCCACCCACGCTGCCCACTCCCAGGCTGCCCACTCCCAGACTCCCCACTCCCAGGCTGCCCACTCCCAGACTCCCTACTCCCAGGCTGCCCCCTCCCAGGCTGCCCACTCCCAGGCTGCCCCCTCCCAGGCTGCCCACTCCCAGGCTGCCCACTCCCAGGCTGCCCCCTCCCAGGCTGCCCCCTCCCAGGCTGCCCCCTCCCAGGCTGCCCCCTCACGTACGTTTGAAAGAAGAAAGTTGAATTTAACTAATTGAGGCTCAATGACCCATCTGGTTCTGTGTCCAAATTGGGATCGTGTGCGTCGACCCTGCCATTGAAATTCGGGTTCAGGGTTCAAGTTGATGTTGTGCAAGCAGGTGGTGGGAGAACTCGAGAGAGACGAGGATGGAGGAGTCTCATTTGCAAGCGTGCCCTGGGTCACGAAATCGACAGAAACCCAAATACAATGCATTACTTTACAGCAATGAAGAGATCAGAAATCGGAACGGAAAAAAACACACAATACAAAAACTGTACAATGCGAGACGTTGAGAATGTTGCACAAACATACGTTGATTGTTTAATCCGAGTTAAAGCTGACATTTCGACTTTACACAGATATAGAGTGACGATGCTAAATTAGGTGGAGTTAATAAAAATCACTGTCTTTATTTGTTCACCGTCTGGGGTTCGAAAAGACGAGTCTCACTTTGCTGGCAGCCACCAGTGCTTGTCCTATGGATGTACTCTGACCCTTGATAGGAATGTGGAATTTCCACCGCTATATGAGGAGGTGCAAACGGGAGGCGAGCACAATCCCTTACTCATTTGAGGCCGACATCAATTTGACGTTTTGTACTGAAGAGTGAGAGAACATGCCGTGATGCAATGGTCAGCACAATGCACTAAACAGTCCAGAGGTCACAAGTTCGTTCTCCCGGCGCGGCAGCTATATCATCGGCACGTTTTATTATTATCTCCCACCCCCAACCCCCCCCCCCCCGGCTTTGTCCACCCCCCCCCCCCCCAAAGCCGCTGTTCCTTCGACCAGCAGTGACCTGAGCAAACAATTACACGGCCGCACATTTACCTCTCGACGCGTGTTATCATCATAATAATTATTATCTAGGGCGGCCATTGGGCTCGAACCGCAAAAAAAAAATCCCGTCTGCAACAAATCGGGTGAACGCGCCACCACCGCTCGGCCACATCACCGCGCCGTGCCGCGAGACGCTCAGAGACGCCGGGGAGAGACCGGCGAGACACGGGAACGAGACGAGGTGGCCGCGTGCGCGCCAGCCCAGCGCCCTCGTCTGCAGGCGAATCGCGCAGCTGTCGAGCCCCCGGCACGAGCCACCGCCGCGCGCGCGCCAGCGTCTCGCTGGCAGCGGCTCCGAGCCGGTGCCTCGCGTCGCCCTCCCCAGCGTGATTAATTGAGATGCGGACGGGGCACGCCGAGTGTGCCATCCATCTCCACGCCGATCCGGCTAATTGCCTCAACAACTGAATAATGCATTCACTTGTTACCACCACCACTGCCGCCGCCGCTGCCGCTGTCGGGGCGGTGTGCCAACAGCGCCCGTGCGCGCGCCCTCGATGCGGGTACTCGAGAGCGTTTCCGCGGGTGGGTACGTGGACCGTGTCGTTTGTCACGAATTGTGAGTTGAGCGGCACAGAGCGCCGCTGCTTTGTGGAACTTGACATTGCGCTCAGGGCGGTCTCGTAACTCTTTCGTGATATCGGAGCGCGTCCGCGTGTTCGACGCGGCGCGCGACCGGTAATGCGCGCGCGGCTTTTACGACGCTCAATAAAAACGCGCGCATTGACCTAAAATAATAAGCACTTAGCGCGTACGCATTCAGCAGGATTTTTAAACGGGGTCCAATCCACTAATTACTTTCTGAGACAGACGCCAGAAAGAAAAAAATGCGCACACATGCCCAAGGTCCGAATTCCCAGACTGCAGGTCAACGGCCCATCATCCATCCCCTCCCCATTGTTTGCTAATACGAGTACCAATTTGTGGGAAGGTCAGCAATGGTTGATTGACGCGCTGGCCTGGAGTCTGCTACAGGAATGGTAAGTTTCCACCGTTAGCTCAGGGCCACTGATATTTCCCTGCCCCTGTGTACCCACAAGGGTCGTCTGCTTACGGAGAAACTGCAATTTTACATTTCAATAGTCAAGGTACAAATTTGCCAAATTAGAAAATGACCATACAACTCCTCAACTGGGGGACCATCCGCATCAGTCCATCGCCTACTGCCGGCAGACTCGTGCCGCGGTTTACTCTTGCAAACTGTGACTCAGTCTGGTCTCTTGAGTTCTCTGCTGGTTCAGCAAAGCACCACTTGAACCTGAAACCTCACAGTCCGTACATTCAAACGCACGCTTGGAGCCGTGAACCAGGGCGGCAGGGTGGTGACACAGAAAGAACGGCCTGGGGTTCGTGTCCCGACTCGGGCGCCTTGCTATGTGGAGTTTGTATGTTCTCCCCCTGTTCTGCAAAGCGTGAGTGACGAGTGAGCGAGTGTGCGTGAGTGTTGGGAGCGAGTGTGTGGAGTTTTGGAGTTTCCCCCAGTTTTGCATGGGTCATAGCTCCCTCAAGGTTCTCCGAGTTTTCTCCCATTCCTAAAGTAGCACACACAATGGAACTGGCACTGCTGAAAACAATATTTGCAAATGCTTTTTAAAAAATTCCAGCAAATTCTCTCCATTGTGTTTGCACGTGGCAACACAGCACCCTTCTGCAAGAACCTGGCAGGAGCCTCCTGCAAATGAGTGAGGCTCATTATCCTGGGGTGATCGGGATTCTGTCACCGCGCAGCTCCCAGACTATGGAACAACGCTTTTTCCTTTGCTAATAAGACAATCACAGTCGTTAGAGCTGTAATTTAAGTCTGTCTTGAAATCTCACCTCTTGAAATTCGCCTTCATCCCCCGTCTAGTTCCGTCCGTTTACCCCGCAGGTTCTGTGTTCATGTCCCGCTTTTCATTCACGGTGGTATCCAATACAAAGTGAAAATAATCATTATTGTTGTTGTTTCGGCAGGCTAAACAAGCAAAGTACTAATCATCATAATCTTAGTCATCAAGCGTGCGCGTCACAACCGCTGTCTGTGTCGCCCACAGCTGGTCGGCTTCGTCTACGCGTGCTACGTCATCAGCGTCTTCACGGAGGAGGAGGACAGCTGTGAGTGAGCACGCACCACGCGCCACGTGCCACGTGCCACGCGCCACGCACCACGCGCCACGCGCCACGCGCCACGTGCCACGCGCCACGTGACGCACCCTCGACACCACGATACCAGAAGCATTCCCGTACACGGGCGGCGGGTGGAAATGTGTGGGCTGGTTTAAATGTGTTTTTGTTGTGTGTGTTATAAATTAATGTAACTAAAATATATATTTTGCTTCTATAAATATTAATCTATAATACTGGTTTTGTTTTGGGTTAGATCGCGTAAATATAAATGTGTCGTCAAACCCGACACCACCCGACACAGGCGATTAGTAAGGTTTGTGGCGTAAACAACGTGCCAATTCGTTACTAGTACAGCACACCGGTGTGTCGGAGAGTAAACCTGCAACATTTACAATTCGATTACGACGTTTCGCCAGTAATTATAGCCAGCATCATCAGGCGACAGCTAGATTTGTGGAGCAATCCTCCCCCTACTGCGTTCTTAAATAAAGCTAGGGAGGTCGGCTAATATATGTATATAAATTATAATGGATATCAATTCACCCCACGCTGTGCCCGATGTCACCGCATCTCGCACGCCAAGCGGGGTGGGTGAAGCCCTCTACTGTCCACCACGTTACCCCCCCCCCCGTCCCCCAGCCACCGCCGCCTACAGCGACGACCTCCTGCGGCAGGCATGGAGGCCGCCCAACGCAGCGCTCTCCAGGCTCAAGCCGCTTGGCCTCAGACAGCTGAACAGATCGGGGCGCGTTACGGGTGACGCGGCCGTTGTGTTTCACTCCCGTTCGGGTTTTCGTCTTTGCGCTGCATCACACTCGGATGTCTGCCTATTCCCCCCAACCCCCCACCCCCATCTCCTCCTCCTCTACCCCCATACAGTCGATTTCATCGGTGGATTTGACCCCTACCCAACCACGTACCAGGTCCCCCAGAAACCCGCGCACATGCAGCTGCAGCCCATGTACACGTGAGTACAGCACGGCTGCACCGAGGCAGAGGCGAAGCCCTGCAAGCGCTCGCACGCGTCCCCGCAGAGGGCTCATAACTCAGCACATTCGTCAATAGCACCTTGGCCTTAAAACAAAAGCAACATATAGTAGGCGACGTTTCTGGCAATGACCCTTCTTCAGAACACATAGAGAGAGAGGCCAGAGAGGTAGAGGAGAAAATAAGTTTCGCCTCCACTTGCACGCTGGCTGAGTACCCACACTTTCCCCCAGCACACGCGGCCTGCCGCTGTGCCGACTGCCGTGCCCCCGTGTGCACTGCTGGGGGTTGGGCCGAGGGCTGGGACGATGTCATCGTCTGCGTGGCGCGCCCCACTCGAACCGGCGACCTCTGGACTACAACTTCACCCTGTCCTGACCATTGTACCGCGACAGCGCGCTCTATCGGCCAGATCGGGAAGTGTGGTTGGACCTCCCGTGGCGCTCGTGCCAGGCTAGGTGCACGTTAAGGCCACGTGAAGTGTCGAGCGCCTGCTGGCAGGAGGTCACGGGGCAGACCCAGGTGCCACGGGTCGACTGACTGAGATGACTGAGATGACTGAGATGACCGGCCAGACACACAGCATACACTATGAGCCGCAGTCGAGCTCATAGTCCACGAGCCGTGCTTAGAATGCATGAAGCGAACTCGCTCCACATCACTCAATGTTTTGCTCTCACTCATCTTGAGACCAGCCTTAGCTAGGCTGTATAACTCTCACGTAACAAAGCTCCTCCGCATCGCCTTACCAGAGTGTATAGGGCAAGTGCTGTTAGCGAGCGCCTATTGAAGGCCGGCACGACACACGAGAGGGTGGGCGGCCAGCACCACGCCCGAACGCCTTTGTCTCCCCAGTAGCTATGTTTATGCATCGCACGAGTTTAGAATTTGAGGTTGAGTGGACCTAGGGGAGGTCCAGGACTGGTTCCGATAATAATCACAGGCGATGGTCGCTGGTTTTGTAGCGCCGCACGCTAACCACAACACTACGGCTCCCCACTCTCACACAGTGCACTTGCACAAACACACACACGCCCTTAAGAGCCGAACACACGCTCGGAATAACACTCCTATAAACACGTGGCGGCGGGTGTGACTGTGAGCGGTGGTTTCCGCTATAACGTTTTTATTGTTGACTGTCAGGAAGGGTTACTATGTGATAAAAAACGAAGCCGCCCTGATAATGTAATACCGTGTATATATTTAAAAATATTCCACCAGCTCGCTGCCCTGATACAGCTTCGAGAGCTGAACGCAGTTCAAAAGGACTCACAAATACCTGGTTGTGAAAGACCCAACAGTAAATCCCTGGGTTTTGATCTTCCAAACCGCATCCACTGCACAAACCATGGCAGCAGTAGATGGAAAATAAATGAAATATGTGGTGGCAGTGGTGCGACTGTGGTCATCCAGAACAGATCATAGATCGTATAACGGCGCAATGCCCCGATCCACAAATACGAAGGAGACATCACAGCGATGATGAAACACTGCTCTGCTGCTCCTGACGCGGTTATCTGGGATTGAGTACGTGAATGTGACACTGTAGTCGCTCCTCTGCATCGACATCGTCAGCCGCCGTACGACAACAGGAATTAGAAGAAGAATCTCGCTGGCCGATCGTGGCTCTCCGAGCCGGTGCCACGGCCGCTGTTCTCCGTGCGCTCTGCGAGAAGAGGCAGGGGGCCTGGCCCGGGGACGCGACGGGCCGGTTGGGGAGCATCGTGTCTTGAGCGGCAGCGAAAGAATGAGAGACGGAGTGACGAAAATCGGCTCGCGTGCAGGAGCCACGCGGATTGACGCGTCGCCAGGAGCTTGAGAGATGGCGACGGGGCTTGGGAAGGCCTCCGTCCAGCGACGGGTAGATCACGGGTGATTGTGGTGATGCGAGTGAAGGGTGGATCTATCCGCTGCTGGATGAAGGCCTCCCCAAGCCTTCTCTCACGGTGCTGCGATACACCAATCCGTCGAGCGCCTGCTCACGAGCTGAAATCGTCGCTCCATCTCCCCCCTTTAGCCACCACTCCGTCACTGATGTCTCCAACTTGCGAAATTGAGCGTTTGAATCGGTGCTTATCACTTGTCGTACGATTTGGATCAGAAATATAAACGTGGACATCAGACGGATTTAATTGGGGGGATTCACAAAAAAAAACTGTGCGCAAAGAAGAATGGAGAGCCACACTTCTGGAATTACGCAAAGCGACGTGAATATGCGTCGAGCTTGTGTGTGTCCTCATCTAATCCGCGTGCTCCTCTTCCTGCCTTCAGCGCAAATTGCACGCAGTCACCACTCCGTGCTTGTCTGTGCAATGTTCACCCCGTTCGTGCCGTGTCCCCCCTCGTCAATGTGGATGTTTGCGATTCATTGCCACGTCCCAAGTTCCCAGTAGCATCAACAATGCGCGACGCGCGCGAAGTCCATTTGTCAAAAGCAACGTTCCGTGAGGCCAACACGCGAAATGATTTCTCTCTTTTCCTCCCTCCCCCACCCCTCTCCGTCTTTCTCTTCCGTCTCCTTGAAAGGACAAAATAACAACACGCGCGAGGGACAGCCGAGCGGAGCAACAGAGACAAATCATCAGCTCGGGGGGGGGGGGGAGAAGCTGGGCAAAAAACCAAGTTCCCCACCAACGATTTGAGAGAGCGAGTGGAGAGAGTGGAGAGCGAGAGAGAGTTGTTTTCTTCTTCTGTGTGTGTACAAAAAAAATCCCACTCCCAAGAACTTACAAGCGCGTGTACGTTTTGTCAAAACGAGCAAGAATTGATTTGCGGCGGCCACGGCAGCCGCAGCCGCAGCAGCAGCAGCGGCCCAGAGAAAGAGAGACAGAGAGAAAACAAATAGACGTCGAGAGAGTAGCCAGACGGGTAATAACAACGGCGGTAGCGGCGAGGAGTCTTGGCTCGGAGCCACGAGAACAAGGCGGCGGCTGCTGGCGGCTGGACGCGGCTTCGGCGCCCGTCCGCCCGCGCCCCCGGGGCGACCGGCGCGGGGGGGGGGGGAAGCGCCACGAACGCCCCACGCGCAGAGACGCCACCGCCCTCTGCAGACGCCCTCCCGCATGGCCCGGCCCAGCCTGCGCGCGTGGGGCTGGGGGGTCGGGAGTTGTTTTTGTTTTGGGGCCGTTCGTCCATCTCCTAGCGCGGTTCTTCGATGTGCGCCGTCGGCACGAAGTCACCGACGTTTCGCTGCACGTGCCGGCGAAGAGCTTCTTCAGGGACGAGCCAGCAACATCGGCGCGCGCGTGTGTGTGTGCGTGTGGCTTCGTCAATAAAAAAATATAAAACAACAGCGAAATGCCATCGCCACTCAAGCCAAGTGGCAGGAATCCGTCGGAGCTCAACCCGAACGTGCTGTTGGCGGTCCTGATGGAATCAGCGGTGGAAACTCCACATTCCTAGGGCAAGGGCCAGTCCAGCCCCGCGTTCATCATGGTGTCGCTATCAGCGTGTCGCTGTCCAGCTGATGGAGAGGGAGAGAGATCGACCTTCGTTGTATATAAGTGGCGGCGTCGTTGTTTTGCTGTGTGCGTGTTAATCTCCGGTCACTCATCCCGTGGTTTAATTTCTTCGCGTTCGATAGTAACTTTTGATAATTACATGACAAAGTGTCCTTTTCAGCCGTAATGTTATAGCCTGAGTGATTACATACAATATGCAATACGGTATATATATACATTTAAATGCATATTATATGTACTGCAGTTAATTGTATACATATTTTATGTGTTCGTCAAAGTCTTTCTTTTATTTTGTCCTTCGTAACGACGTAGCGCGTATTAACTTTGTACATCTCACGGTAGGCCTTACAATTGTAATGGCCGATTATTTAAATTAACTCTCCTGTATGGAATTCAATAAGCTAATCTTCAAATGTTACTGTTTAATGTTGTAGGAACGCTGCCACAGTGGTGACCGCGCTGGACTTGCGACCCAGAGGTCGCCGGTTCGTTGAACCCTCCCGGCGCGCCGGTGGTAACGTCACCGCGCCCTCTGCCTACCCAGCAGCAGCAGCAGCAGCACGCTGCATGGGCACGCCGCAATGAGTCGATCGGCAGGTCGCGTGGGTGGGGTAAAGTGTGGGTACCCCCCCACCTCGGAGCCTTTCCTGGGGTCAGGGAGACCGCCCCGGGCCCCGCGCTTTTGAAGGGGGGGGGGGGGGTTAGGATCCCGCTTCGACGTCACGGTGTCAGATGTGATACTTCTGGTTTAGTTTGAAGGCGTTGGGAGCCCCCGCATCTCCCTACGGAGGGCCCCAGTCGCCACCTCGTCCCAGATGTTTGGCCAGCGAGCAAGACGGCGACAACTGCCCTCGTGAGCTCCCTGAAGCCCCTCCGACAGCGGTGGCGTGAGCGAGGGCTACTGCACCTTCAATATGAGCGCTGTATGTGAATGGGGTCAATGTTACGGGATTACGTAAAGTTGGTGCTTCCGAAGCGTCGTGCCAATCCCACCACCGCCGCCGTGAATAGCCAGCGACGCTGTTGGGCAACTTCGCAAACTCGCTCGAGGTCTCCGCGTTGACGCCACCCACACGAACCGCTCCGATTTGCCACCACGCTGCCCGTCAGACAGGCGGGGGGGGGGGGGGTAGTCCACATGGCTTTCATTCCCCACTCAACACCGACGCCGTTCATCTGCGGGCGTTTGCTACCGGACGATGAGCCATAACCAAGCTGCAACGCTGTGATCGTCACCACCTCCCAGTCCGTGTCCAGGTGACCCACCGGGAGTCGGGTCTCACGAGACCTCGGGCACGCCGAGCGGGCTGTGAGGCTGCCGGGCTTGTGCGGTCGTCCCGCGGGCTGGCACGGGGCTGCTGCTGCTGCTGCGTCGTGGACACCCAGAGGGGGGTGCAGGGGAAAGCCATTGTTGTACTGAACTGCTATGCGGTGCGGTACTTCCTTCCCACCGCATATGCTCCTCCCCGTCTTCACCAATCGCGTTGACCAGCGTGGCGAAGTATGGTCAAACAACCCAACGCAACCCGCGCAGCGTGGGGAGGCCCTCATCCAGCAGTGGATTGACGCAAAGGCGATGAAGTGTACAGTACCCACATACGCGCAGCAGTATAGACACAGTACAGTCCGTTCTGTCAATACGTTATTGAGGGATATTTGACCATACTTGACCATACTTGATCATGCCGGTCAGTGCGCGTGTGTGAAGGTGGTGGGGAGTGCAGAACGGCGACGGCTTTTGCTGCACTGCCCTCTGCTGCGCACGAGGCCTAGAGCTCCCGTGTTGTGTACGCAGCCGGCACCCATCCCGGCGATGTGCAGGCTCCACGCTGCTTAGCTGACGCGAGCTGACGGCATCGGGTGTATTCTGGCTGCTGTGGTCATGGGCGAACATCAGTACTGAATGGGGCGCCGCGGTGGCGAGGTGCCATCTCTCTCGCCTGCTATGCAGGAGGTTCGTGGGTTCGATCCCAAACCCTGACGCCTGTATATTTGGAGTTTGCATGTTCTCACCGTGCTCGCGTGGATTTTTCTCCGTGTCCTTCGTTTTTTTCCTCCCCACATTTAAAAACGCGCGTTTAGAGTATTTGGCTGCTATGAATTTCCACGCGATAAGCCACTTCATTATGGCCAGGTTGCTGCTGAAAAAGAGTTACATAGTTCTCGGTGGGGCCTTATCTGGTACATAAAAAACCCCAGTTTTATAGAATGCATTTCTCGTTGCCTGTAAACGTGCCCAGTTGTCCGTGCAGCGGCAGGGCCTCTCGCGGAGAGAGGGCGAGCGGCCACTCGCAGACGACCTCGCCGGCACTGACAGCACGCGGCACTGACAGCATCGCTGGGGCAACTCGTCACGCGTCGATCATCAGCTCCGCCAAGGCGGCCCGGGCCATCATCAGTTGCCCCACAACCCTGGGAGGCAACTTTTACCGAGTTGATGGCTCAATTACAACGGCAGCTGCCACTTCGCTCGAGACCAATTGTGAGATTGTGAGAAACACAATCACAGCCACACACGATGTCACAGCCACACACGTTTAGATAACTCGCGACTTAGATTGCGACGAGAATCATGCCCGTCTATAAACTACCGGGCACAGTGGTGAGGACACGGTGGTTAGCGCACCGTGCTATGAACCAGGCGAGCCGAGTTCGAGTCCCAGCCACGGCTAACACAAGTGGCGAGCGGTCCGGGCCTCCCAACCTTTCACCAAGCCGCACTGACCAGTGTGGTGAAGTATGGTCAAAAAAAACAATCCCCATCATGGCGCGGGGAGGCCTTCACCCGTGGGCGGATTGAGAATGGCAGCATTTATGTATTTATTTCGTATTTATCCAACGACCGCGTAAACGGAGCCCTTTCCGCGGGATTAATAATCCGACACTCAACAGGCGTGAGATTTGAGGTGCTGAAACGCAAGTTGGTCGACATTTGGTCAGCCGGCCTCCCTCCATTCAGTGGCCTCGACCAGCCGTGCAACGCTCACCGACACCCGACACGCGCAGTCGCCGTGGCTTTGAGGCCCCCCTTTTTAAAGCCCCCTGTGAATTTGATACGTAATAAACTCGATGTTTTACCATCCCTCGCGAGCCTCGTTTATCAACGCGGCTCGCGGACTCGGAAGCAGGTGAGGGTGGGCCAGGAGTGGCCGCGCTGGTCCCATGGGAGGGGAGGTGGGAGGGGGGGTGGGAGGGGGGGGTGAGCTCCCAAACGCGAATTTCGTGGGCCCTCTTGTGGCTCACGGCCCACTGAGGTGGCAGCAGAGACGTCGTCGAGAGACGGTGATGGAGCGAGATGAGAGAAATGCAGGAAATACTGTGTAGAGATGTCGTGAGATGTGGAACGTAGAGATGCAGGCAGGATATCGATGTGAGATATCAATTAGAGTTCTCTGTTAATTGCAATGTTATGTTGATTAGGATGCAAATTGGTGGCGATCATTTGAAACACCGTTTCCCCATACATCCCGAGCCACTTGAGCTACATGGGACCCTAACATCTCTTGCTGGGTCTACCCGTGCCGAGCGCTGCCACAGCTTTTGTTTTGCCAAATCAGCGCACACACCGGCGTCACGCTTCACGCGCACACAACACACACTCATTGACGTGACCGAACATCCCGATGCAGGACCCTCCACAGCGAAGCTCAGCAGCATCATCATCATCAGCCATGATCAATCCACTGATGGATGAACGCCTCTCCAAACCATCGCCATCTCTCACGAGCCTGTGATGTAACAATCCACCCAGCATCTGCAAATGAGCCAAATGAATGAACAGAGCGTCTTCCTTCGTGGCAGCCTTGCCCTATAAAAACTGCACATTTACCAAATCCACTGTTATTATTAGTATGGTTACAAGCGGCGATTTGATGTACGCTGACACACGAGCACGTATTGACTCATGATCAATAGCAGCGGCGGCAGATTCGGTTGTCTCGATGTTTTTTTCTGCCACGATGGCTTTTATTTCGATGACAACAGCACAACCACAAGCACCACGGTCAACAAGCGCACGAGACGGAGCCACCGCACCTCGCGGAGCACGGAGCACGAAGCACGACTGGCGGGTCACTGCGCCGACTCTCCCCCCGCCACCGTCCCCACGAGCCACTGCTCCGCACCACGGCCTGCGTCTCCCGCACGCATCACCACCATCAACAACAACATCACCTTCACCACCAACATCGTCATCACCACCACCACCATTACCACCACCACCTTCACCACCAATGCTCCGCACCACGGCCTGCGTCTCCCGCACGCTTCACCACCATCAACAACATCACCTTCACCACCATCGTCATCACCACCACCATTACCACCACCACCTTCACCACCAATGCTCCGCACCACGGCCTGCGTCTCCCGCACGCATCACCACCATCAACAACAACATCACCTTCACCACCAACATCGTCACCACCACCACCACCATTACCACCACCTTCACCACCACTGCTCCGCACCACGGCCTGCGTCTCCAGCACGCATCACCACCATCAACAACAACATCACCTTCACCACCACCATCGTCATGACCACCACCATTACCACCACCATCGCCACTTTAACCACCACCATCATCACCATCGTTATCACCACTACCATTATCAACACCTCCACGATCATCATCACTCTCGTCACCACCTTCACCACCATCATCACCATCATCACCATCGTCATCACCATTACCACCACCATCACCTTCACCACCATCGTCATCACCATGACCATTACCACCACCACCTTCACCACCATCATCACCATTGTCATCACCACCGCCATCATCACCATCGGCATTACCTCCACCATTATTACCACCGCCATCATCACCTTTGCCACCATCACCCTCTTCATCACCACCATCACATCCACCACCATCATCACCATCGTCATCACGATTACCACCATCATTACCACCACCATCACCTTCACCACCATCGTCATCACCACCACCATTAGCACCACCATTACCACCACCATTACCACCATCGGCATTACCTCCACCATTACCACCACCACCATCATCACCTTCACCACCATCACTATCGTCATCACCACCACCATTACCACCACCACCATCATCACCACCTTCACCACCATCACCATCGTCATCACCATCGTCATCACCACCACCATCATCACCACCTTCACCACCATCACCATCGTCATCACCACCACCATTTCCACCACCATCATCACCACCTTCACCACCATCACCATCGTCATCACCACCACCATTACCACCACCATCATCATCACCTTCACCACCATCACCACCACCATCACCACCACCATTACCACTACCACGTTCACCACCTTCACTAATCCACGTGCCGTCAGCCAACACCACGTGGTGTCGTGCCGCTGCTGTCTCGAACCCGACGCCGGTGATGTGCAGGGCGCGGCACAAACACAGCGCAGGGTTGACGCGGCGGCGCTGTGACACCGGCCGGCCTGATGGGCTGCCACCTGTCCCTGGTCTCCCCAGGATTGCCCTCTCGTTGAGGAGGTCGGTATCATCCTGGGAAATCAGTCAGTTCTCGCGGGACATTAAAAGTCCGAGCCCTCCCTCCCCCCTTCCGGCACTGTGAGATATTCCATCTTCGCCGGTTTCCTCCCTTAGCTAGACACACGTCATGCAACCGGTGTCTGCCAATCATCCCGATGGAGCGCGCACTCTCACTGCGGCTTTCCCGGGTGCACGAGTCATCGTCACCAATTATGTCACATTCCCAAGACACGGCGCGGTTCCGTCGCGCCTCGGAGGAGGCGACCCTCGAGGTCTGGCGGGCAGGGTACGAGCCACCGATCCGCCCCGCACAGAGGCAGAGGTTCGGTGCCCTGGTTACGCTTGCCCGGCAACGCCGCATTAAGCTTCGTTACTAACAAACGAAAAATCGCAAAAACGATCAGCGCGACGCAATGCGGACTTGCACAGCAGTGTCGAGATGCGACCGCCTCTCAAAGCGCCATACAGGCGGCCACGGGGGGCAATGTTTATTGTACAGATGCAAGCAGCGGATAAAAGGGCGGTCTTGAGGCTGGACTTGAACAGAGGCATGGAGTCGACAGCACAGGTGGCTGGGGGATGGGAGTTCTAAACCACGCGGGCAGAAACCTGCGTTTGCAACACGGTGGCTTACTCAGATTGCGAACTATGCCACGTGGCTTTTCAGCATGATATGCGAATCAGGATCAGTATCTCGCAATGTGTGTACGTATGCTGAACTTCTTTCGCATCGTACGTAGCCAACTGTGCATGCGATCGTGTGCTCCCTTTCCCCTCTCCCGCCTCGGAAGGAGTTCATTATTAAAACGATTCATTCTGGAATGAAGGGGGAGCCGCCACAGCGCCGCAATGGTCAGTAACACTGGACTTGCAACGAAGAACTCGCCGGATCGATTCAATCTTCCGGCGTGTCAGCTGAGACAACAGGGCAAACTTCTTCAATCCCCCTCCCCCCACCACTCACCCAGCAGAACAAATGGGCAACCCCGCAGCTAATCTATTATTGGTCGGTCACATGTGGCGGTGTAAAGTGTGGGTAGTCCTGCCTCTTCCAAGACGTCTGGACAGCATGCAAAAGCAGGCCCTCTCGAGCGTCCTGTGGTGGAGGCTCTTCTGCCAGCAGTAGAGTTAACAAGCAATTGCAGGGCTGCCCCTCTACCTCTGGACAAAAGCGCGTATCAACATTGTGGTGTTTTTTTGTAAAAACAATGAACATTAACGCCACCCATCGGTGCCATCTATGGCTTCTGAGCACTCGATAAATGTCGCGGCAATGACCCCTTTGTGTAGGGATCATTTCCACGACACACAAAGAGCCCCCCCCAATTCCCCCCTTCGATTGCCGATGTCCGGAGTTGAACTGAAGATCAGACAAGGGGCGAAACGTTTACGAAGCAAAGCACTGCTCACTTTGCTCAAGATAAACATTATCTCCACACACACACACGCCACACACACACGCCACACACACACACGCGCCACACACACACACGCCACACACACACACGCCACACACACACACGTAAACACGTGCTTTTTGTGCAAGAAAAAGTCACTGACGGCAGGACGAATGGTGAAACTTAACATCGGTCACAGACGATCCCCCGTGTGTGCGTCTGATCGTGGTCCTCACAGAGTCCTGGCCGTGCCAGAGCGAAGGATGTCGCCCTTGAACCACGCCGCTCCCAGATGCGCTGTTTGGCGCGACGTCCGACTTGTTCACTCCACGCGCTGCAAGTCATATTCAGGAACCAGGAAATGCACTGGTTCACGAATAAGGCCCCAAACACGTGGCACGAAACATCGGACATCGATGCACGAGGAGGAGGAGGATGGGGGGGACCAGGGGGTGGGAAGGGATTGAGAGCGACTGTGGCGCAATCTCACACGAAACAAATGGCGTCGCTCAAAAATCAATGCCCCGAGCGTGGCGCTCACGGACGTGACTGTTGCAGCCGACGGCGGTGATGCATCATTTGTGGGATGCGCCATGTACCATGCGGTGGAGAGGTGGGGGGGGGCAGTTTGAGAATCAACCGCCCTCGGAACTGCCACGGCGAGCAACCTGAACTGCTTGGGAAACTCGGGGGACACGCCCGTCGCACGGCTGAGACGCACGACGATCAGTTCCCGGTTTCTCTCCAGCGCACCGACCGTCGGCTCGGCCAATCTACGGCCGTCAGGCGGCCCCCTCCCCTCGGCGTCGTCCCCGCGGGGGGGGGGGGGGGGCGAGCAAGGCGTCCCTCGCGAGCGTTCTAGTTTCGTGAGACGGACCCGGCTGGACGAGTCGGCTCCACCGGCGTCGTGGACGGAGGAGGTGGAGCTCCGGGTGGGGATGGTTGGGACTCGACGCCGATTCTCGGTACCCGATCGCCGCAGCCCGGGGGGGCGGGTGGCACGCGGATCACTTCCAAAGCCTGCGCCTTGAGAGGTGAGGAAGAGGTGAGAGAGAGGTGAAGAGTGGCGGGGCTTGCTCGGCCCAACGGCTGCTGCAGAGTGGGTCCGCTCTCCCCTGTGCCCGTTCTGTGGCTCTAGAGCTGGGACCTCC